TGAGAAACCCTGATAGATAATAATTATTGATGGGCATTCGAGTACTTTCTCATTTGGGTCTATTATGAATACTGCTGTAATGAATATTGAACTATATATCCTTTGACAAATATGTATGTATTTCTGTTGAGTGAATACCTGCGAATGGAATTGCTGGTCATAGGATATAGATATGCTCATCTTTAGTAGGTATTGTTGGTTTTCCAAAGTTGTTGTACCCATTTACACTTCCCCAGCAATGCATGAGCATTCCCGTTGCTCCACATCTTCTTCAATTAACTTGGCATTTTTTTCCTCTCTCTCTCATCCTTCCCCTACATGGTCCTCTAATTCAGCTTATGAAACACTAGATACCCAATTCAGCAAGCAGCATTAGTTGTTAAATAATCCTGTTGCATATTTTGTAAAAGATGGATTATGCACAGGTGTGGTCACTGTGTCTAGTAATTAGAGGCAGCATTTGGGGCAAGACGATTTGTAACTAGGGTTTCTCTCATTTAAATATCAGTGCCAGGTGTTTCTGTATATCCATTCTCTCCCATTCTTCCTAGTACCACCAATAGTTTTACATAGTAAATTTTGCTCTCAGGATCAGATTATCCACCATCGAGTTCCTGTGTATTAAGTATTTCCAAATTGTACAGTACTGTTTACCCCAAAACACTGTTTTTTTTCTTATAGTATATTACTTAGTTATAGAAAGGCAGGTCAGGTGGGGTCATTGAGGAAAGAAAATCAAGGAATTTGGGTGTCAGGTCCATTGACTGTCAAACTTTGGTTCAGGCATCAGCAGTTTCAGCATTATCTGGGACCTAAATGCAAACTATTAAGCTCACCTGGAACCTACTGAACTCTTAGGGTGGGGGCCCTGCCACCTATGGTTTAACAGCCCCTCCAGGTGATGAGATGTTAAGGTAAAGTTTGCAAATCACTAATCAGGACTGTCCTTATCCCCAAGCTACAGACATACCCAATTTGGCTGAATACTGGTGGAATCAAATGTTTTGGTAATACTATGAATGAGTCAGTTGCCCTCCCAGTCAGTATTAAAGAATTTCCATATGTAAATTTAGGGGTGAGTTTTGTCTTAAAATGTTGATTGGCCATAACTTACTTTCAGTAATTTATTTTTTCAATTTCTAAATCCCCAAACGTCAGGATCTTCATATTTCTAATTCCTAAATGTATGCTAATAGAAGATTGCCCCTAGCTGCATGTGCCCTAACATTTGCCTATTTAAATACTTGGTGTACTGTCTTTTGCAAGTATTTGCTTGGCATCATCCAGCATCCAGAGAGTGTTTCCATGATAACTTTGCTGTATCAAAACCAGGTGCAGATCACTCCAGTTCACATGGTGATGAATCAATTTGGTTGGGCTTGGCATGACCACCTCTGGACTTGCCACCTGGGTCTTTAAAATTCTGCATATTAAACTTCTTCCCCTCTCTAAGATGAGAGTTTAACATAATGCTTTAGGTTCTGAGATCTAGACAACTTCTTCTGTTGCTAATTAGATAGATGGTAGAGAAAGTAAAATGATTGGGCCCCAGGAGAAGGAGGATTTTCCCCCGGTGAACCCAGTTGGAGGACCTCTCAGTTATGGGAGAATTGTTGTTTTAGTTAAAGATGTGCTTTGGAAATGTCTACTTCTCTTTAGCATCATGATGGTCACCATTAAAAAAAAAAAAAGACACCATTTACAAAACTTATCCCGGGTCCTAAAAGTTTGGATTCAACCAATCTCATATTGAAAATATTCAGGGGGAAAAAAAAAAAAAGGAATGGTTGTGTCTGTACTGAACATGTACAGACTTTTTTTTTTGTTGGTATTATTCCCTAAACAATATAGTATAACAACTATTTATATAGCATTCATATTGCATTAGGTATCGTAAGTAATCTAGAGATGATTTAAAGTATACAGGAGGAAGTGTGTAGGTTATATGCAAATACTACACCATGTTATATCAGGGACTTGAGCATCTGTGGATTTTGGTATCCACAGCGGTCTTGGAACCAATCCCCCACGGACACCAAGCGACAACTGTACTTAATTGGATGTCCAAAGTGAATTGGACTGCCAATATTCTCTCTTTTCCCATGTATTACTCTTAGATCAAGGGAAAAAACAAATCCCTGTATTTTATAATTAAGAACAAATCCCTGAGTCCTTTAACTTACTTCAATAACAAAGCAAACTGCATAAAAATACCCTTCCAACAGAAGAGCCATCAGGGAGCCCAAGAATAGATACCATCTCACCTCATTTACTTAAAATTTTCTCGCCTCGAAGCTTAGCCCCTCAATGCTACTTCCACAAACTTGATCCCAGCCAGTCCTCTCGGGGCCCTTCTTGCCATTACTTAACACTGTAGATCCAGTGTTGCTGCTCAAACCTGTATCCCCTCAAGTTCTTTCCTAACTAAAGGACAGCAGTTAATTGGCAATAGACAAACAAGTCCCAGAGCAATTATGAAAGTGCAATTGAGTTTGCATTAGTAGATGCAATTAGGGGAAAGATGCAGGAGGAAGTGTGTACAGCATCCTCCATGCACTGCCTGGAGGTGGGCTCTTCTGGCAACGAGATGCACTCCAGGTTTTTTAGCACAACAACACGCAAGTTTTTTTCCACCTCCCCTCATTAGTTGACTTAGCCTGGCAAGCAGCAAACTCTGTGTTGTACACGTCCAACTCGTTTTCTCTAGGTCCTGCAGCAGTAGGACTTCAGGCTTAAAGAAAGCCTTTACGAGGGCCCGAGAGGAGAGTAAGCATGTCTAGCCTGAGTAATAGGCTAGAGCGGGAAGAAGTGCTTCCAAAGTGAGTGACAAGGCATGATTGCTAGGCCTGCAAGTGTCAACTTTGTCCTCGGCTGCAGGAAAAGTCAAGCAGGGACGGTTGAGCTAGCTGTTCAGTCTCAGTAGCCAAAAAGCACATGGTGTCTATTCTAGACGAGCAAGCGGTAGGGCCTATTAGGAAGGAGAGGTAACAGGTAACAAAAGGCCTCCACTAATTCAATAAGAAATTTTTTTTAAAAAGTTCCATAGGGATTTTTTTTAATACGAGGATGTGAGGGTGGGGGAAATTGGCCCAAGGACAGGCAAAAGAGCTGGGAGGAAAAACAGCTCTATTTTTCAACACACAAACAATGCCATTTGAAGTAGTGGATTGAATACAGAAGTATCATGAAAGTTCCTAATTTGGCTAGTGTCTATATTCTTAATATAGTAACAGTATTAATGTCTGTCCTCTAAGCCTGTATAAATCTGAACCCTCATGTTATTGGCCAGTTGGAAATAACAGTGTAAACAGACTCTGTTGCCCTAATTAAATTATGTACACTGAATGCTTTGTCCAACTGCAAGTATTTTAATATTCATTCTAAGCCACAAGGCTGTGTCAGACAAGCTATTGAAATTACTCTCTGTTGTTTAGAAATAGAATATATGGTAATCTGAAAGTATTAGTGGGGAAAATAAAAGCTTGGGATTGAATTGTCATGAACTTTAGGTCATTCTCTTTGTTCTACTCCATAGAAGACACTGAGAATTAGATTGATCCACTTTATTCATATAATGGCTACATTTTCTTTTTCTTTGACCGAAAAATCCAGGGGTTGGTTATATAGAAAGTTTATTTGGGGGGTGGGGAGTGGTGAGGGGCATTTAGTAAGGTAGAGAGAAAAATAGTATACAAGCTAGAAGAATAAAAAATGTAAACATTGAGAGCTAGAAGGATGAAAACGACAGTGTGCTCAGGAAATGACATGTCATTCAGTTGGAGTTTGTGGTGCCGTGAATCCTAGAGGTAGCATTGATTTTCCTACCCATGGTGAAAGCAAGGAATCAGTATGTTGTCCTATCGATTCCAATTAATGGTAGGGTAGAAACTGTTCAAAAGGAAGAAGAAAATGTGCATTAAAGGACACTGTTTCTTCACAGGGTGGGTGAGTGAATGCTTTGGGGTTGAGGCACTGAGTTGTTAAATTCAGGTCCATAATGTGGGGATTAGAAAGGCAGTCAGTAGTTAAACTGGTGTTTTAGAAATCATTTAAAAAACATATTAAATAAAATGCATTAATCCATATTTCATTCAAAAAGTGGCCAGTGGAAAATTGAGAAGTTGAAGATGAGACCCTTCTAAGTAAAACAGCTTGATACTCCTTAGCCAAAACACTACTATATTTACAAATAAGGGAAAACAACATTCATTTCCTAGGTGGTCGACAAGCTCATCTGGACGGGTGTACAACACTTCCCTGAGCATTCCAGCATGTTCTCTGCGAAGTTAAAGCCTGAATGCACCCTTAAGTCCCCTATGTGGATATCATTTGTGGCCAGGATTCAAGTTCTTTCCCATGAAGCTTTAAGGTCTCATCCAGAGCAGAGGATGGGGCTCAGGACTTGTTCATCTGACCCCAGCATCCTATGACAAACACCACAGCGGATGCGGGAAGTGAGAGGAGAGGGGTTCGTTTCGATATCACGGGCCCAGGAGCCCCTGCAATCTCAGATTCCCTGGGACTGGAACGCCTCCTCCAGTAAGCTCTTGTTTTGCAAAAGGCAGGTGGAGCCAGAGGGCGTTAGGACGGAGCTGGGATGGGTGAGGTTTTCTTTTATTTTAGATTTTGTCCCTTGAGTCAGGTTTCATGAGACGGTATCGGAAGCAGAGGCCGTGTTCTCTCCCGCGGATGGCGCTGGAAGAGCCGCGAGCAGGCGGTGGACCGCTGCCATGAGCGCGAGCGGGGCAAGCCCAGCCGCCGTGGGGCGACGAGCAGGAAGCCGCACGCCTGCCGGGGCTCATCACTGCGACTCCCCGAATGGTCATAAATGGTAATGGCGCGGAGGGGGGCCGGCACTGCAGGGGGGCAGACAGGGGAAATGAAAGAAAAGAGATCTGAGAAACTAAAGCCGTAGGGGGAGAAAAGAGTTAGCAGAGTTCTGGGGAAACAGCTAGCAGACGCAAACAGAGAGGCAGAGGGAGGGGAAAACGCCGGGCTGAAGCAACCTGCAGCAGAGACTTAAACAAAGGAGGGTTGAGAGAGGCGATCAGTCTCCGGTATCCGCACGGGGAGACAGCCAGCAGCTGCACTCTCGGGATGACTCCGAATAAATTCGCAGCATCTCCTTCAGGGTGGGAATGACTGGAGGATGTACCCAAACAAGAACTCAGAGAAACGAGTAAGTTTGGAAAAAGACTTTCGGATTTGGGCGGCCTCTGACGGTCCGCCCCTCTTCGAGGCATGCCTTCATCCATGCATTGCCTCTTCGTAGTTTCTGTCTCTAGTGTCATCGTCTTTATCGTGTTCTATGTGTTCAATTCTGGGGGAGAGCAAAGCTTCCAGAGACTAAATATCTCAGACTCGTTGATGCTGACTCAAGTTTGCACATCCTTTATCAACGGGAAAACACCTTTCCTGTGGAGAAACAAACTAATGATCCGTGAGAAGTCTTCTTGCAAGGAATACCTGACCCAAAGCCACTATATCACGGCCCCTTTATCTAAAGAAGAAGCTCAATTTCCTTTGGCATATATAATGGTCATCCATCACCATTTCGATACCTTCGCAAGGCTCTTCAGGGCTATTTACATGCCCCAAAATATCTACTGTGTTCATGTAGATGAAAAGGCGACAGTTGAATTTAAAGACGCAGTGCAAGAATTGCTGAGCTGCTTCCCAAATGCTTTTCTGGCTTCCAAGATGGAGCCAGTTGTCTACGGTGGGATCTCCAGGCTCCAGGCCGACCTCAATTGTATCAATGATCTTTCAAGCTCAGAGGTCTCATGGAAGTACGTCATCAACACTTGTGGGCAAGACTTCCCCCTGAAAACCAACAAGGAAATAGTTCAGTATCTGAAAGGATTTAAGGGGAAAAATATTACCCCAGGGGTGCTGCCCCCAGCTCATGCAGTTGGACGGACTAAGTATGTCCACCGAGAGCACTTGGGCAGAGAGCTTTCCTATGTGATAAGAACGCCAGCGTTGAAGCCGCCTCCCCCCCACAATCTCACCATTTACTTTGGCTCTGCCTATGTGGCTCTGTCAAGAGAGTTTGCCAATTTTGTCCTCCATGACCCTCGGGCTACCGATTTGCTCCAGTGGTCCAAGGACACTTTCAGTCCGGATGAACATTTCTGGGTGACGCTCAACAGAATTCCAGGTATGTGAGATTCCATGTTTCGCACAAAGGAGATGTGCCATATTTGGAAGGGCTGTGGAAGAGCCAGCCACTTTTTATTAGGAAGTAGAAGATGAAAACTGAAATGTATATAGTTCTCACCCTAGTCCTTTCTAAATGCAGAATGATATTCTTTATGTGATCATTCAAATAGTCTAGCATTACCAAATAATAACTTTCCATGGTATCGCTTTGCAGTTCATCAAGTTCTTTCGCATACATCATCTTACTCAATCTTTACCACAATCGGTATCATTGTTCTCAGTTCACACTGGTGTTCTTTCTTTCCCCCAAATTTGTCAAGCTTGCTCTTACCCCAGGGCCTTTGCCTGGCCATCCTCCTGCCTACTTTGGGCCTACGCAGGTTCCCTCTTCCTCAGCCAGATCTTAACTCTCGGATGTGGGCAGCGGGCAGCTCTGACCGTGCCTCCTGGCCACTGGCCAGCACACCACCCTATTTTCCCTTCAAAGAGTTTATTGCCATCTGGAATTATCATATTTACCTCTTTGCATGCGCTTGTTCTTGATCTTCTGTGTGCTAACTCTGTGAAGCCAGGGTCATTTTCTATCTTGTTACTGCTGTATCCTTAATGTTTAGAACACATAGTAAATGCTCAATAAATATATATTAGATGAATGAATGAGTGAATGAATGAATGCGAAGGCATGAGGCTTTATCAGGCACCACAGCTGTCTCCCTGAGACCCAGTGAGCTGAAAAATATTTGGACTCATGCATGCGCCTTATCATGTCTGTAGGGTTTTTTTAAAAATACATTTTACTTAAGATAAAATAATGAAACTCTAGAAGAAACTTCTTCCTCTCTCATCAAAATTCTTCTACCTTTACTAATATTTACCAGATCAATCATTTTTTAAATGTATAAAACATGATAGGATTTCTTCTGAAGGAAACAGTGTTTTGGACTCAATGAAAAATACAAAATGGATCTCTGATGAGCTAGACAGCATTATTATAGCTAGAGAAAAGCAATCATTGTTCTGGTTGTTGGGGGCCTGCCAAGCTGGAAACGCTGGTAGGTGCTCTCAGGCTGCAGGGCAGGGCCTGCTGGGCAGTAAACACGCCGGCATTCTCTGGAAAATACCATGTACGGTCTCCAAATCCCAGGGTGGCTTGCCTGGTGACCAGGGTTCCCTCATGCACTACCCATTCTCTTTTTCCTGCTTCTCTTTCTCCTAACCAGTGGCCACCATCTTTCACCTTTGATCTGTTGTTTCCATCATTGGCACATAATTTAGGAGCATTAGGCACTTAGAGGCTGATGTTCATATTTAAATATTTATTCCCTTTCTATTTTCACCATTCCCTTAAAATTCTTAAGTTGAGTACTAGCCATGTGGTTCCTTAGGTATTGTACTGAGATGAAGGCATTTCGTAATTTAGCAAAAGTCTGGATTGTCGCTTTAAAAAAAAAAAGGACAAAAGAAAAACATGGGTTTTGGTTTGTGTTAAATGTCTGTGGTTACTTTGCCAGAAGGATGGTCAGTTTTATCAATGTCAAGTCAGTATAAGAAAGTCAAGGAAAGAAGAATACCCTGTTTTTTTCTGATACCTTTCCTCTTTCCTGCCCTAGTCAAATACACAAATGATCTTGGTCTCTTTGGATACCAAGAAACATATCTATGTAGGTACAGGAAAGAATACCTTTTTTGCTGTAGGTTTGTGGGATTGGCACTCTGGCTTCTGCCCACACAGGGCAACAGTGTGACCCCATGTAAATCACGGAACCCCAAATCTCCCCAGCTCCCAAATGAGGGGCCCCTTTCATTCCTACACACGCCTTTCTTTGCAGAAGACGCAATGCCCAGAACCACAGAATCACTTCACATGCAGAGACCGGGAATCTGTAGAGAGAGAGGCGGAAGCGCTGGTGAGCCTGGACTCTGCATTGTCCTTTAGCCTGGGCAAGTGCATCCCGTTTCCCTTGCAGGAATTGGAAGTGAGGGCCCCTCTAGAGAGCATCTCTCCAGAAAGGAAGGTGAGCATCATCTGTCCTGATTCTGCAAGGGATGCATTTCAGGATGGTGTGCCATTTCCCGGGGCTCTGCCTCCTCCTTTTCTTAGACTCTGGGCAACATCCTGGTTCGGGGAGAAAGGATATCCTGCTCCTAGGTGGGGCCTTTCCAAAATTACAAGTGAATTAAAGCAAACAAATCATCAAATGTCCTGGCGTGGGCCCTCCCCACCTTCAAAGGCCACATAAAATCTGATCACACGCTCGAGTAATTCCAGCGGTTTTACGCTTGAGCACGCTTTGCGATTTAAGATTTGGAGCGTGAATCGGTTCTTTATAACCGGACAGCCTTTGATCATATCAGCTCTTCTACTTTCAATGTCATGTTTTCAGGGGAAAAGTTCTTGTGTACGTGCAGCGTAAACGTCTTTTTCACAAACACGTGAGCACGGAGGGTACTGTTCATTTCTCCCCTTGAAGGGACCGCCTCCCTTTCTCCTAAATATGTGTGTTAGAAGGACCCTGTGCAGGCACATCAGGTTTCCCCAAACGCCCCCAAGAGTCATACAACCAAGAAAACGATTAGCACCCTAGAATTAGATGGTATCAGAAAACAAAGTAAAAATCATTTAGAATGGGTAAGACTGAACAGAAAGGGTATTCGTAGGAGTAGCCCTAAATCTCATAGCTTCACGCTGCCTTTTGTTTTTTTCATAGTGCCATTCTCTTGAGAGAGTGACTTCTGTCTCGGTTTTCAACCTTTAGGCTCTCTGCACGCTGTGTTACAAGTGGTGACAGAACAGGCAGGCCAGAAGGAGGTTCTTGAGGGCTCCAGACTCACACCGTTCGGGGACCCAGGTGGCGTGGCTGTCATTCTGTTCTGCGTGGCTCGTGTACAGATGTGTGTCCACCTGGTCAGAGGAAACCCTCTAGGGTCACAGGTTTCTCTGACTTGCCCTACAGAGTAGCGTACCCTGCCTTGTGGTGCACCCTCAGGTTTTCTAACTTCTCAGATCTTTGTAATTCCTACTCTGTCACCTTGAGAAAGACCTTTTTTCTCTAACCCCTGGGTTATTCCTATAGGCTTTCAACTGCCTACCTGCCTTGAGGCCATTTGGATTTTTGTTCTATCTCTTGTGAATTGTTCAGCACTTGCCCAACCGTCACTGGTCTGGTTTCTACTCGGTGCATTCCCACAGCTGGACTGTCTCCATACCCCCCTCAGGGCTGGTTGATCTCTAAGGAAAAGGCCAAGCTACTACATGCTTTGGTTTGAGCTACTTTTTTCCCTCACTGCGTTTGTTCTTTCGAATCTTTGCTCATTCATTACCCTGACCTTTCTCATGCCATGGTGTTTTTGTTCCATAAGAATGTTTTCATTTGTCTCTCTTCCTTTTTCCATTTTGTGTACATTTTTTTTTCAGAGCCCCTTTGTCAAATTCTCTCGACCTCAGAAGGGACCACATGATCACATTTCCTCATTTTTTAATTCTAAAAATAGTGTGTTTCCTACTTTGATTCATTTTGCTTTTTTAACTGTGACTTTTGTTTATATGTGCACATTCTTTCGGAGGGTGTTATGACCCTATAGGTTGCAAGTGTCAGAAACTCAACTCAGAGTAGCTTAAACAAACACCAGGAGTGGATCACATGATTGAAACACCCAAGGGAGCCGGATCAGTATTGGAAACAATGTGTTCAGGACTCTTTTGCCAGGTTATCTGTCCGTGGGGTGACCAGCTGTCCCTATTTGCCCAGGTTTGTCCTGGGCTTGGGACTTTTCACAGGTAGAACCAGGAACATCCCTGGCTAACTGGGACAAGTTGGTCCCCCTATCTCTTTCTCCCCCCGTTTTGGCTTCATTCAGGCAGGTTCTCCCACATATTATCAGAGATGGCCAGAAGTAGCTCCAGGTTTACTTGCTTTGAACAGCTGGCTCTCCTGGGGGGAGAGAAAGCTTTTTTCTTCCCCGTCTTTCTGATAGTTCCAGCAAAAGCTCGGGGGAGACCTCGGATTGGACCTGCTTGGTCCAAATTCCTACTGGGGGGATGAAGAATGCTGACCAGCCTTTCTTGGGTCACTTTCCCACCCTGGAGCTGAAGGTTAGCTCCTCAGAGAGACATTGGGCAGACAAAAGCACATGCCCACTGCAAGATGGTTCTTTGTCCTACACAGGGGAGACGCGAATGAGCATGTCCACATGATGTTAGAGGGGCAAGATTTAGTGATAATATATGGGGGGGGGGTGTGGTTTTAACCACGTGAGCAACTTTAACTAATCTCAATAACCATACCCTTTTCCCTCATACAAACATTTTTAAAATGATAATGTTACTTTATCGTATTTGGACAGTACTAGTTTGCAAGGGATTTCTTATGCACTTTCTCCTTTAATTCTTATAAGAACCCTGTAAGAGGGGGACTATTGATCCTGTTTTACAAATGAGAAAATTTGATTAAAATATATGACTTGTCCAAAGACAAATATTGCATGTACCTATCAAGAAATAAGAATAAAAGGAAAGATCCAGGGGAGGGAGAAGTAATACTTATACACATTTTAAATTGAACCTAGTTTTACAAATTTTTCATTTAATTATTGCAATAGCTGCAAGTGTTCAGAAGATGAAATTTGGCTAATTATAAGTCTCATTAAGCTTGTGGAATGATTCTATAATTGGACCCACTAAAAAATTTTGTCTTTCATCCTGATTTTTAGCCCATTTTCCCAAAAATTTTGGCTTTTTCATGTGAGCAAAGGTATAGGAAAGAAGAGAATTAATGCTTACTAACATGTGTCTATGGGTCTAGATTATCCCAGTTGAATCTTCACAAGAATCCTGTCCTGTGGGTACTTAAACCCACATTTTGCAAATGTGAAGATGGGGTAGGAGGTTTGAGTAACGTGCCCTGCTCCAAAAGCAGGCAGCACAGTTGATAGCGTGTGCAGTGGGCAACCCAAATTCTACATGCTTGGAATTAAACTCATGCTTTCCCCTTTGCACGGCCCTGAGT